CCCTGGCCCACCCCTTTCACTGATTAGATTTCAGTTCTTTGCTGCTTTCTGTTCAATTGCCGACTCTGATTTCACCGCACACTGTGAGCTTCTCACAGTGTGCATTAGAAGCTGCAGCTAGTCAGATAGAGCTCCGCCTCATTTCCTGGATGGAGGACATCCAACATCATCTAGTCTTTCCTCCCCAATCTGATGTGTCCCTGGTCCTTTCGTTCATTGGATGTCAGTTCTTTCACTAATGCAGGCCATACATGGTTCGAATTCGGAATGATTTTTCGTCCGAAAATCAAAAACGTTGTTCGCTCGGTAATCCGATGGTGCCATCAATGATTTCGAAGATCGGCCGACCGAGTCATTTAACAGTCAAAACTTTTGTTCCTTCCAGGTCACGGCTCATGCGCATATTCTTTTCGGAAAAACGATCGTCGTAGGATTTGACCATCATTGAGTCGAAAATTGGTGGTTTTTCACAAATTTTCCAACGTGCCCGATCACCGAAATGGGGAGGAACCACAAAAATCGGCCGGTGCCATTGACCCACTAACAGAGCAAAAAATTTGGCCGATTATTCTTGGGTTCGATTTTCAGATGAAAAATCAGTCGAATTTCGACCCATTTATGGCCGGCCTAATCAAGGATCAGCATCCCATGCAGGAATTAATATACAATCCTGCCTAGGAACTCCCACTGCTCCAGCTTCCAGTGGCATTGGCCAGCTATGATTTATACAGAAGTAGTTATTTACTAAAACTGGAGGGTGCAAAATCTGCTGCAGCCCTGAACATAAACCAATCAGCTTCCAGGTTTTATTTCCAAAGCGTAATTGAACAAGCTGAAGTTAGAAGCTGATTGGCTGCCATGCACAGCTGCACCAGATTCTGTCTGCTCCAGTTTTTAGTACATCTCTCCTACACTTGCATTGCTCCAGGCTGGACCAATACATAGTAACCTCCCTAGAGGTCTGATTATGTCCATATTTCTGTGCTCAAAGCGGTACTTTTTTTGCATGGAAATATGTAGTTTTTTTATTGTAGGCTGTAATTTTTAGGAATAACTCACTGAAATCTGTCCGAACAAGAGTCTAGTAAACATCCCGGGGATGATAAAATTTGAAACACAAAATCATAAATTATAATTTAATAAATAATCATAAAAAAAAATAATAATATATAATAATAAATTTAATTCAATAATATAATCAAACCAAAAACACTGAAATGTGAAATATAGCGCCAAGTTCGCACATCGCTGAGCAAAGTCGCAGAATCGTTTTCAGTGTCTGATGAGGAATTTCCCCCACAAATCATTATCACTCAATTCTGCAAGTGGTTCTGATTTACTATCGCTGTTCTCTAGCCGGTCTAAAACCGATTTTGACCTAAAGGGACGCTTTTTGGACGCCATGGAGGTTTCTCAGTTTCCAGGCAGAAAGAACAGTAAAAATGCAGGCAGGGCGCCGGACAAAGCACTCGGGACAAAATGTATGTGAAATGGGTTTGATACAGGAATGTTATACTATGTGATTTTAGTGATTTTAGTGAATTACACTTTTAACATTTTCAAAATTTCCCGCCAGTTCTGTCCCCCAGTACGTCCTGACGTCACAGGGAACGGAACCCGGAAGACAGATGCCGGCATCGGCCGGAGGACATTGCCGGGGACACTGCAAGAGGGACATCGCGGGAGCGCAGGACAAGGTAAGTGCTGGAGGGATCCCGGAGTAACGCTGCAGTGTATTCCCGAGTGTAGCTCAGGGTTACCGCTTGTGGTGCTGAAACTTTACCCCGAGCTACACTCGGGAATACCGCCAGGGGGGTTAAATATCTGGAATTCTGCCCGCAGGAGGCTCAACAAGTTTTCCTGCAATTAGCAGGCAGTCTGCATCCAGGGACAATTGTTTGCAGGTAATTGCTGCATGGTTAGCTGTGGGCACTGTCAGCCTCCTATTGTTATGAATGCGGCGTCCATCCTGCAGCCAATCACAGGGGTCCCTGCTGAGTCTCCTGCAGGTAACTGGAAACTGGAATCTGCTAAAGCAGGGATATCAAACTCAGTTTCATCGCAGGCCAAATCAGCATGATGGTTGCCCTCAAAGGGCCAGTTGTATCTGTAAGACTAGATGTCCAGAGCACCCCCCCCCCCCCCTACATCAGATGTCACCCCCCCCCCCCACGTAGTGACGTTAGTCCAGCTTAGAGCAATGCAACTGTGGGAGAGATTTACTAAAACTGGAGCACTCAGAATCTGGTGCAGCTGGGCATGGCAGCCAATCAGCTTCTAACTTCAGCTTGTTCAATTACGCTTTGGAAATAAAACCTGGAAGCTGATTGGTTTCTCTGCACAGCTGCACCAGATTTTGCACCCTCCAGTTTTAGTAAATAACCACCTCTGTATAAATCATAGCTGTGCAATGCCACTGGAAGCTGGAGGAGTGGGCGTTCCTAGGCAGGATAAGTCCCCTTTACCTTGTGCTGCTGCCGGGAAGAAGCTGGGGGTGGAGCTGGGAAGCAGAAAGTGCAGGGTCTGGAGGAGGACCAGAGGAGAGCTGGAGTCAGGTTAATGCTGAGACCGGGGAGGCAATGATGAGGGGGGGGGGGGGGCGCTGGGGTTGCACAGAAAGGGGTAGGATCTGTAGAAGGAGTTCTGTTCTCCTCTCTGCTGTCGACTGCTGAGACAGGGGGAGGGGGAGGTGCAGAGACAAGCTTTTCCATGGCTGCATGGAGAAGCATAGGATCTGACTGGGGAGTTTTGTCCTCCTCTCTGGTGCTAACTGCTGGGACGAGGTGGCGGGGGGCAGAGAAAAGGTGGGTGCTGCAGTTGTAGGAGAGGTGTGAGGGCCACATGAAATGACCTGACGGGCCGTATTCGGCCTGCGGGCCTTGCGTTTGACACATGTGCTAGAGGATAGCACTTCTGCCTGACTAATAGTAGGGTCGTTGGTTCAAATCCCAACCACAGCACTACCTGCCTGGAGTTTGCATGTTCTCCTTTTTTACTTTGGCTGGGAAGGGGTTAACATCTAGGGGCGATCAAAGGGTTAACTGTGTGCCCACCAATGTGACTGTTTTATCTCTCTGCTTTGCAGGAAGAAACATCCATCCGCACCATGGCACCACCTGCCTGGAGCTTGCATGTTCTCCCTGTGCCTGTGTGGGTTTCCTCGGGTACTCCGGTTTCCTCCCACACTCCAAAGACATGCTTGTAGATGAATTGGCTCCTGTCTAAATTGTCCCTAGTATGTGTATGTATGAATGTGAGTTAGGGACCTTAGATTGTACGCCCCTTGAGGGTTAGGGACTGATGTGAAACACCTGGCAGTACTCGGGTCATTGGTTCGAATCCCAGCCATGGCATCACCTGCCTGCAGTTTGCATGTTCTCCCTGTGCCTGCGTGGGTTTCCTCCAGGTACTCGGGTTTCCTCCCACACTCCAAAGACATGCTGGTAGGTTAATTGGCTCCTGTCTAAATTGTCCCTAGTATGTGTATGTATGATTGTGAGTTAGGGACCTTAGATTGTACGCCCCTTGAGGGTCAGGGACTGATGTGAATGTACAATATATATGTAAAGTGCTGTGTATATTGATGGTGCTATATAAGGACCTGAAATAAATAAATAAATAAATAAATAGAGGATGCGCCCAGCAATACAGATAGAAGTGGGTGGTATAGGTTTTTGGGGAAGATGTTTTCATTTCACTGTAAAACCCAAATATTGGTGTAACATAAAACAGTATAAAATTGAAAAAAATAAAAAACGCCAGCCATACATGACTGAAAGTCGACTGGCTCAGCTGCATTTTGACCCCATATGGGCACCCTAGTTGTATACAAGTCGATCTATTGATCAACTTGTGTGCAAGCAGCCTGAGCGATTTAGTGCTGCCGACTATAGCCGGCAACACTGATCATTGTGTTCCGCCGGCAAAAAACACAAAAGCACAGCGGAAGGGATCCCCCATCAACACAGTCGAGCAATTTTCTTTTCTTCCAACCATGGTGGAAGGAAAGAAAATCAAATCCTCTATGGGCTGCCTTAGCCTTTATTGAATCAACCCCAAAAAGAGAGAGCGATACCTGCAGCCTCTGTATACACAGCCACACCCACCCCGCAGACTCACCTGAACTCTGACCGCTTGTGTTACCAGGTCCTGAGAAGACTGGCGCTGGTCCCTATCAGCGTGCGATAGACGGTTTCCTGTGGTTTACAGAATCTGGAAGCTGTAGTAGCTGATTATTAAATAAGAGCAGCGTGGGTGACCTGTACTCCGCTCACACTTCCTCTGTGACGAATCGCAATCCGCTGACAATGTGTCATTCATGCTGGGTGCCAGCTGCTCTCCCTGGCGCCAGAGACGTGTCTGGAGGTCCCTCCATCCGATCCTTACCACTCATATACACCCAATCATATACCTGATACCTACCACAGCGTTCTTCTACTCTGAGATATAAACTATATTGCCAATAGTATTGGTCGGCCTGCCTTTCCACACACATGACCTGTAATGGCCCCCCAGTCTTAGTCCAGAGGGTTAAATATTGAGTTGGCCCCGCCCTTTGCAGCTATAACAGCTTCAACTCTTCTGGGAAGGCCGTCCACAAGGTTTAGGAGGGTGTCTATGGGAAGGTTGGACCATTCTTCCAGAAGCACATTTGTCAGGTCAGGCACTGATGTCGGGGGAGGAGGCCTGGCTCACAGTCTCCGCTCTAATTCATCCCAAAGGTGTTCTATGGGGTTGAGGTCAGGACTCTGTGCAGGACAGTCAAGTTCCTCCACCCCAAACTGGCTCCTCCATGTCTTTATGGACCTTGCTTTGTACACTGGGGGGCAGTCATGTTGGAACAGGAAGGGGCCATCCCCAAACTCTTCCCACAAAGTTGGGAGCATGAAATTGTCCAAAATGTCTTGGTATGCTGACGCCTTAAGAGTTCCCTTCACTGGAACTAGGAGGCCAAGCCCAACCTCTGAAAAACAACTCCACACCATAATCCCCCCTCCACCAAACTTTACACTTGGCACAATGCAGTCAGGTAAGTACCGTTCTTCTGGCAACCGCCAAACCCAGACACGTCCATCAGATTGCCAGACAGAAGCATGATTGTTCACTCCAGAGAACACGTCTCCAATGCTCTAGAGTCCAGTGGCGGCGTGCTTTACACCACAGCATCTGACGCTTTGCATTGCACTTGGTGATGGAAGGCTTAGATGCAGCTGCTCGGCCATGGAAACCCATTCCATGAAGCTCTCTACGCACTGTTGTTGGGCTCATCTGAAGGCCACACCAAGTTTGGAGGTCTTTAGCTATTGACTCTGCAGACAGTTGGCGACTTCTGCGCACGGTGTGCTTCAGCATGCGCTGACCCCGCCCTGTCATGTGACGTGGCCTACCACTTGGTGGCTGAGTTGCTGTTGTTCCCAGTTGCTTCCACTTTGTTATAATCCCACTAACAGTTGAGCGTGGAATATTTAGTAGCCAGGAAATGTCACAGATGGACTTATTGCACAGGTGGCCACCTATCACGGGACCACGCTTGGAGTCGCTGAGCTCCTGAGAGCGACCCATTCTTTCACCAATGTTTGTAGAAGCAGTCTGCATGCCTAGGGGCTTGATTGTATACACCTGTGTCCATGGAGGGGATTGGAACACCTGAATCACATGATTTGGAGGGTGGGCCCAATACTTTTGGTACATTGTTATAAAATGTAACATTCCATAATTAGAGACCCTGTCACCAAAATAAAAAAGGGAGGTAAAAGCACAAAACAATTACACATTTTAAATGCTAACTTGCAGTGTTTTACTTTTCCATTAACTATTTTTTTTTTAATTGATCTGCAATGTGCTCCTGAACATGTCAGGGAACTCACACTCCATTGTCATTTCTACAATACCGCCTTCCTGTGTCTCTTTACATATAGAGCCCTCCAGCAAACATATGGCGGCTGGTGGCTCTCCAACCCAGCTGTCATCGACAGGCCTGGTCCTCACTGACCATCAGGAAGAAATCACAGTGGTCCCTGATCATGCGATCACTATGGGGTTAATTTGAAGGCAAATAGACTGTGCACTTTGCAAGTACAGTTGAAAAATGCGACGTAAAAGGAAAAGGTCTGCTGACTTCCATCATCCATTTGTATGCAAGCAAAAATTTTGTGTTTTTTTCTTTGCATGTGATTGGGTATTGTTTGCAAAGTCAAGCTTCATTCACTTAGCTCTGTAGCAACTGCACTTGCAAAATGCTCCGTCTATTTGCCTTTAGTAAAATCAACCTCCATAAGCTGTCAGCCTGAAGAGGAACACTGCCACCTTCAGGATGCAGTGAGAACTGCCATCAATTTTATATAATGTAATTGCTCAGTATTAAAAAAAAATAGCTAAACAAAACTGTAGAAAAATAAATAAAAGTTGTGTGCATCTGTCAGAATATAATAACTGTATACCAAATAAAAGCTTAAACTGTCCTTTAAAAAAAATTCCAACCTAAACTTACCTAGTCTTAAAAATGTTCCCTCCCCCCACCTAATACCTATGCTGACTAATGATGTAAATACTTATTTTCCGGTCTGCTGACATGATCCCATGTGTCACCCACCACAATAAATATATACTGCTAAATATCTTTTCCCATAGAAATCTTGTGACTTCTATCAGTGTCCAGCAGAGCACTGGGTAACACTTGAAAAAATTGTTTTTATTCTCCTCTGACTGTCCTAAGAGACTGCATGACCCCTGACCCTCTGTCTGGACAGCGCTGATTGGCTCTGTGCTGACCACATGCACTCTCCCCCCCCAAAAAAACTCTTTAGCCATACACACCAAACTGAGCATGTGCAGCCTGCCCTCAAGGTTCTGGTCTATATCAACAGATGGATTGGTAACAGTAGAAGGGGAGGATCAGAGAAGACAGGATCAAAAAGACTTTTTACACAATGCAGAGGATTAACCCCTCAGGTTCCACAGTGAGTATAACAAGCATGCTTTACTGCATCTACAGACTGATTGTACTGTTGTGGGTTTAGTAACACTTTAATAAAATTGTGTATTTGTTCCATTAATGAATGCAGGCTTGCAGAGTACTACAGTTTCGATCATCGCAGGTACGATCAGGCGCTTGCATTGTTTATCCCCCCCCCCCCCCCAGCCCAAGGAGGTAAGAACCTATTAGGAGGCTGAAAGAAGTAATGAGTGGAGTATTAGGCAGTGATGTCACCAACCAGCGGTCTGCTACAGCAGAAGATTGGATATGCAGTATCTTCATTGCTTAAAGTATCCTGCAATTCAGGGCGAAGGGGGGGGGGTGTGTGTTGGGGGGGATGTTTGAGTTTTGGGGGTGTTTGTGGCCATATTTATATTACTATTGTGACATAATGAAAGGTGGTTGGGGGAAGGTATGTTTCACCTTGCATGGCTTTCAATGTTGCGCAACTGTCGCATTGATAACATTGAGATGCGATTTTTGAGAGTTTACATTGCAGTCCATGGCATTCAAGTCGCACAAAAGTCAAAGTAGTGCATGCACCTATTTAAACTTGCTGTGACTGTAAGTCACATCGATTTGAACGCCTTCCATTGAAATACATGGGCCTGCGACTTGTCATGTGACTTTATGTGTCCAAAGTCGCACAACTGTGAATGGAGCCTAAAAAAAAGGCATGTTCTGTCAGTGACTTAAAGAAGCCCTTCACCTGTCAGAGAGGTATCTGTCCTGTTTAGTACATTTTCTGTTTTGTTCTGTTTATTTCTGCTGTAAACATTTTAAATAAAATTTAAAAAAAAAAAAAAAATTATATATATATATACACACACACAGTGGGGATCGAAAGTTTGGGCACCCCAGCTAAAAATTTGTATTAATGTGCATAAAGAGGCCAAGGAAAGATGGAAAAAATCTCCAAAAGGCATCAAATTACAGATTAGACATTCTTATAATATGTCAACAAAAGTTAGATTTTATTTCCATCATTTACACTTTCAAAATAACAGAAAACAAAAAAATGGCGTCTGCAAAACGTTTGGGCCCCCTGCAGAGTTAATATCTTGTACTGCCCCCTTTGGCAAGTATCACAGCTTGTAAACGCTTTTTGTAGCCAGCCAAGAGTCTTTCAATTCTTGTTTGAGGTATCTTTGCCCATTCTTCCTTACAAAAGTCTTCCAGTTCTTTGAGATTTCTGGGCTGTCTGTCACGCACTGCTCTTTTAAGGTCTATCCATAGATTTTCAATTATGTTGAGGTCAGGAGATTGTGAAGGCCATGGCAAAACCTTCAGTTTACGTCTCTTGATGCAATCCCCCGTGGATTTCGAGGTGTGTTTAGCATCATTATCCATTTGTAGAAGCCATCCTCTCTTTAACTTCAGCTTATACACAGATGGCATCAAGTTACCATTTGCTGAAATTTTATTGAATCCATTTTTCCTTCTACTCGTGAGATGTTCCCTGTGCCACTGGCTGCAACACAACCCCAAAGCATGATTGATCCAACCCCATGCTTAACAGTTGGACAAGAGGTTCTTTTCATTAAATTCTGTGCCCCTTCTTCTCCAAACGTACCTTTGCTCATTCCGGCCAAAAAGTTCAATTTTAACCTCAGCGGTCCACAGAACTTATTTCCAAAATGCATCAGGCTTGTCTATATGTTCATTTGCAAAGTTCAAACGATGATTTTTTTGTGGTGAGGACGTAGAAGAGGTTTTCTTCTGATGACTCTTCCATGAAGACCATATTTGTACAAGTATCTCTTTATAGTGGAATAGTGTACCACAACTCCAGTGTCTGCCAGATCTTTCTGGAGGGATCGTGCAGTCAAACGTGGGTTTTGAATTGTTTTTCTCACAATCCTGCGAGCTGTTCTGTCTGATATTTTTCTTGGTCTTCCAGATCTTGCTTTAACTTCCACTGTTCCTGATGACTGCCATTTCTTAATTACATTCCGAACAGAGGATATTGACATCTGAAAACGCTTTGCTATCTTCTTATAGCCTTCTCCAGCTTTGTGAGCGTCAACTATTTTCAGTTTCAGTTTTCTAGACAACTGCTTAGAAGAACCCATGGTGCTGATTGTTGGGGCAAGGTCAGATGAGTCTGGGCATTTAAAACCTTTGAGATTGACATCACCTGGTCTTCCCAGACAATGATTGAGAACAATCCATGACACTGGCAGGTCTCAGCTTTGCAAAGGGGGCAGTGCATGCTATAAATTCTGCAGGGTGCCCAAACTTTTGCAGACGCCATTTTTTGGTTTTCTGTTATTTTGAAAGTGTAAATGATGGAAATAAAATCTAACTTTTGTTGACATATTATAAGAATGTCTAATCTGTAATTTGATGCCTTTTGGAGATTTTTCCATCTTTCCTTGGCTTCTTTATGCACATTAATACAAATTTTTAGCTGGGGTGCCCAAACTTTCGATCCCCACTGTATACACACTTATGATGGTTATCCTGATTAATCAGACATATAGCAAAATATCAACAATCCTCAAGGTTAAATAAACTGGCAAAAAAAAAAAAATTGCAACGCAGAATAGTCCGGATGGTGGATAGCTAGCCCCAAAAACATGTTCCAAAACAATCAAGCAGTCCTGCAGGCTCAGGGCGCATCAGTTTCAGCGCGAACTATCGACATTTTTTTTTTTTGTTTTTATTTAAATGAAAAGAAACGCTATGGCAGGAGACCCACCCCATACAAAAAAAGCAAGATAGTTTATATATATACACACACACATATATATTTTAGCTGGTGATCCTGCCAATATGTCTGTTGGTTTTCAACTTCCTTTAATGGAACGAGTTGTCCAGCGAAGGTGGCAGTTACAGGGTTGAGAGACACCACAGACAGGGGAGCTTACAATGGCCTGCGTAGGTTTCCTCCGGGTCCTCCGGTTTCCTCCCACACTCCAATGACATGCTGGTAGGTGAATTGGCTCCTGTCTAAATTGTCCCTAGTATGTGTATGTATGAATGTGAGTTAGGGACCTTAGATTGTACACCCCTTGAGGGTTAGGGACTGATGTGAATGTACAATATATATGTAAAGTGCTGCGTAAATTGATGGCGATATATAAGTACCTATAATAAATAAGTCGCACAAGTGTGAAAGCAGCCTTAAGGGGACCAGCTCCACTTTTCAGTCTCTCACTATCGGGGATCCTTGTGATATAAATGTTCAGATCATCTCTCCTCGGTGAGGTCACCCCTAGAAAACATTTAATTTTTTTCCTTATCTGGAGATCCATTTTTTTTTTCAGTGGTGAAGCTGCGAAAATGTCAGAAAATGCTGTGGACTCACCGCGACACGCACTCCCCTCCCTGGTAATCGCCTGCTTGCACACGCTGCATGACTTCACCTTCTTAAAGTTCTTTATCTTGAATGTGTGACAGTTCTGTCCCTCCAGGTCTTCGGGCTGTGAAAGGGAAAACGGGAATGATCAGAATTCATCAACAGTCGGTCCTTTCACTTCCTTCATTATTTATGTTAAAGGGTAAATCCACTTTCATGGGGAAAAAAAATGGCAAATTAAAATAAATAAATACTAATAATAGAGTGTATGCAATCGCAACACAAGTTGCAATTTTTAATTGAATGTTATTAAAAAGGATTTTTCCTTTTCAACCGGCAGCGCTGTGATTTTCTGTAAAATGCAATGTGGCGACCTGGAGATGTTCTGTACACAGATGGCGTATGGAGCGCCCCCCAGCAACATCATTTCCT